AAAAACAGAAATCTTTATTTTCATTTAGGTTGCTAAGGTCACTATAGTCAATCTTATTTTCACAATCTTCATTAAAAAGTTTAGCAAAATATCTCATCCATCTTTGTTGAATATCATCTTCCAAAAAAAGTATTTTTTTATCTTCATCCTTTATACACTTCACTTGAACTAAATCCTTACTACTTCTATATCTTTGTTTGGCTAACTTATACATATATCTTTCTCCCTCTTTAGTATCTAATCTATTATATAAATCATTAAAAGCTAATGTCTTTGCATCGCATATTGCTTTCTTAGCATCCTTACGAGCCACTTTATATATTTCCCAATTATCAGAATTTTTAAAATTAAACCAATTTTTATAACAAATCTTCTTTTTTTTTTAATCTTTTCTTGCACAATTGGATTCCACCACCAACTGTTAAGTTGGTGGATTCCACCACCAACTTAACTGATAGAACTAAAGTTGGTGGATTCCACCACCAACTTAACTGATAGAACTCTCTAAATAATAGAGTTAAAAAACTATTTATACAAAGTAAAAGGATTGGCTCAAGCGCTAGATGTCGCGGCTGTACAAAACGAACTAGCAACTCGGCACTATTAATGATGGCTGCATTTCTGCACTAGCTGACCTGGCACAATTTTGATGAAACAACGCATCTTTTAGCTTAGTCGATGTGGCTCCTCATATTAGCAACTGCTCCACCATGATGCTCTAGAAATTTGACTGCTGCGGTGTTAGAATATGATTTTCAGCATTGAGGTACGGTAATGATCGGCGCTCCAGTGCTTTTTTTTCCCGAAACTCTGATGTTACGGTGTTGTGGTATGTCGTGGCACTGACGTTAATGATGGAAGTTCTTGAAAAAAGAGAATATAGTACTTTATTATCTGAATCTAGAGATGGAGTGCTATGATATCTAATGCTACAACACATCTGATGATGGCGTTGTAAAGCTATTTAACACTTAATTTTTGCCTTTTCCTGTGAATTTCTTGCACAAACACCACTAAAATAACTCATTTTTACTTAATTAAAAAAAATAGTACATTATTTACACTTAACAAAGTAATCAGAGTTTGGGGTAACCATGGTGTCACTGAGAAACGATGTTGATATCATAGCCTAGTAGGCATAAGCAATCTTTGAGCGCAATATTGCCACTCTAGCAAACAAGGTTATAGAGGAATCTAAGGTGATGGCTGAGATAGTTATTACGCCAACTATAGTAACCACGGTGACTATAATAACCACCGCTAAGAGCCTATCACTGATAGAGGTTCTGCCAACCATGGTAACGATGATGTGCCTCATGACTCATGATGTGGGGATAACGATGAGCTAATATGAAACTTGTTGAGTTTAAAATATACTTAGATTTTTTTATATGAAATTAATAAAATTCCCACAAAATTATGCAAGTATACGTTTTGAATCAAGATATAAAGTGAAAGAGTAGAGTGCCAAACACATAAGTGTTTTGCTTTATTGCAACTTAACTATTACTGTTTACTTCAGATTCAAAACTTATTGTACCAAAGATAAAAATGAGGTTTTGGAGTTTTGTCCCTAAAAGAAAAAAAAAACTAGAAAAAAAACTTTTGATACTTAGAAAAAAATATTTTGGACTAGTGAATATAAATACCATAATTTTTCTAATCGGACTCTTAATTGTAGATGATGATCAGAGGATATGTATCCCTAGATCTCTATCGAGCTTATAAAGGTGAAATGAAGGGTTTATGGTCATCTTACAGTTTTACTATCTCCATAAAATCTACAATGTTCAAACATTCTATGTCTAAGCATGCCAACTTTCTATTTAAATATTCCTAATTGTTCCAATAATCCTCCGTCCAGGCTATATATCACACTGAATTTTAACTACATACATAACCATTACATGCATTAAATAAAGAATGGGGGATAGTGAAAATATCAATACATTCATTAAAGCACAAAATTCTATATTAGTACTTGCTATGCTTTCTATATAATTAGCCTAAAACTAGAGAATTAGCCTGTTGACTTGTGTATCGTAAAAAAAAAAAGCAAAATCCACGTACCTGTCCAGCCAAGTTGCTCAAGCCCTACGTCCACGACCTACACACGTCGACATCGCATCCCCCACTGTCACGACCCGACCCGGTGAGCTCGCATAGGCAAGACGGGAATGAAGATCGGACAGTAGACTAAAATATCTAATTCCCAAAACTATCACCTTAACATTTCAAAGAGCCTCTAAAACATCAAATTTGAAATCACAAAAATATAAAATCAGTAATATTCATAAAGTTACCTTTTTTAGAAGCGCCTCTCCTACGATATACGTTTCCATCTCTTCTACTCATTTTGATTTACTTAAACTTACCTGAAAAATGTTAACAACTAACAGTAAGCCAAATCTCAGTAAGTAAAACACGATTCTAAACTACAGTAATCAAGGCAAAATGAACAATATGCTAAATGTCAATTTCATTTAAAATATAACATAAATCGATTTCTTAATAACATATTATTAATATAAACATAAATCATACATTCATATACTTTCATAATTCATTTTTCATATCCAAATCATTTTTCATAACTTTCTCATTTCATATATATTACAATAGTTATAGGAGCCACAGTCTAGTATCATGAAGGTGATCCTTTATCATTTCTTTTTTCATATCATTTACCATTTTAACGTGCACGAGTACAACATCCCTACCTAGTACCATAAGGGGGTGAGCTCCATCAATTCAGCATGCACATACATTCACTCAATATAAACATCATATCATAATCATATTATCTTATTTATCAATAACATTAAGCCTTATCATATATCTTATACAATAATATGATGAATCTATTAATATGCAAAATATGAAACAACGGAATCAATCTAAATGTGGTAAAATGAACCAATTTATAATAACAATTCAATAAAAACTGAACGATGCAATTACCATAATAAAAAAACATGTTTACTCACCTGAATGTTTCCAAACTTTAATATCTTTTCAAAATCTCTAGCTTTGTTGAAGATCCCAAAACTTATCTCAACTTCCACTGTTCAAATAATATTAATAAGATTTTAAACCTTCAACTTAGTGTTCTCAATCATAAAACAATATCAATGGTTCCTATTCTTTTTATTATGTTCTAATCTACTCCCAACATTTCTAAAGGTTCTCTTTCTCTCCCTCTCATTTAAAACATAAAGCATATAACAAATTCTAAAATCTTATATTTTGGTCTAATTGCATTTTTTACCAAATTAACCATTTACCCTAACCTAAAATTATTTAAAATAATTTATATTTTCGGATTTAAATTAAAATCCTAAATTTGGAAAACCCATTTTCATTAATATGCTTATTTTTTCATGCTAAAACTTCTCATTCATCAAAATAATAATTTTATAAAATTATTTTTGTCAAAATCCGACAACTTTGAAAAAATCACTTAAATCTCATCATGAAGCATTGAAAAGCGTGCGAGGTCTAAAACGATATTTTTCAGGTTTTACAATTCTTCCATTCTAATAAAAATTTCGTCATCAAAATTTACATACAACTTCTAGTTACAGATCAACCAACATCTTCCATTCAATTAACATAAACTTCAACATTACAGAACAACTAAACATCTGAAATATTAAAACATCTGACATGACATAATAAGATAAACTACTAAATCCAAAAAAAAAAACATCAGATCTAACATTTCAAGTCACTAAAAAAAATGAATAATAAAGCCATCTCAATTGTCATTATCAGCATCTATAGATTCATTGGGCTCCTGCTGAGTCAAAGTATAAACTCTTAATTCATTTTTCATATCAATATCATTATTCACAACTTTCTCATTTCGTATATATTACAACTATCACAAGAGCCACCATCTAGTACCATAAATATATTCTACCATTTTCTTTTCTATATCCTTTACCATTTTAACGTGAATGACTACAACGTCCCCAACTAATACCATAAGGAGGTGAGCTCCATCAATTCAGCATGCACATACATTCACTAAATATAAACATCATATCATAATCATATCATCTCATTTATCAATAACATAAAGCCTTATCATATACCTTATACAGTAATATGATGAATCTATTAATATGCAAAATATGAAACAATGAAATCAATTTAAATGCGGTAAAATGAACCAATTTACAATAACAATTCAATAAAAACTGAAACGATGCAATTACCATAATAAAGAAGCATGTTACTCACATGAATGTTTCCAAGATTTAATATCTTTTCAAAATCTCAAGTTTTGTTGAAGATCTTAATACTCGTCTCAACTTTCACTGTTCAAATAACATTAATAAGATTTTAAATCTTCAACTTATTGTTCTCAATCCTAAAACAATATCAATGGTTCCTATTCTTTTTATTATGTTCTAATATACTCCCAACATTTCTAAAGGTTCTCTTTCTCTCTCTCATTTAAAACATAAAGCATATAACAAATTCTAAAATCTCATATTTTGATCTAATTAGATTTTTTTACCAAGTTAACCCTTTACCCTAACCTAAAATTATTTAAAATAATTCATATTTTTGTATTTAAATTAAAACCCTAAATTTGGAAAACCCATTTTCATTAATATGCTTACTTTTCCATGCTAAAACTTCTCATTCATCAAAATAATAATTTTGAAAAATTAATTTTCGTATTTAAATTAATTAAAAATTATGAACAATAATATTTCACGAAAACTCCAAATTCCTACCCTTAAAAACTTCTCTAAGATCCATAGAAATATTATACATTAAGAATTTTCATAGAAATCAAAAATTTGCAAAACCTAACTTTCCAAATCTCAAAAATTTTGAAGAAAAACCCTATTTTCAAAGCATAAAAGCATCTCCTAAATCTATCCTATCATTCTCTTAAAGAAAAACAAAGTTTTCCTTCAAACCCTAGATTCTTCTCATCCAAAAATCGTTGAGAAAAGTGGAGAAATAGTAATTCTAATGCATACCTTAGCCTTCCCTTAGTCACCTCTAGGTTTTCCACGAATTTCCTCACCGGAAAACTGTAAAACCCGAAATTCGTCATTTGAGTGCGTCGCATGCATTTCGATGCGCCGCGACAAACTTAGGCGAAATTTCAATGTCGTCAGAATTCGATGAAACAAATTTTATTAAATTTGTCACGAAATTTCAATCGAAACGATATAAAGAACTTATATCGAATTCCGCACTGATTTGAAATTAAAATTCGCATAAGTTCGTTTAAGTAACTTTTAGCCATATCTTCCATTTTTGCCCCTAGGAGCTCTTAAGGAAATTTAATTTGCAAGGGTACATGTGTAATAAGCCACTTAAAAGAAATCCTTAAGCCCTCATACACCTAAGGGACTGAATATTTTGGTCCCTTGTTGTTTTCTTTCGGCCGAGCAAAGGAGAGCGGGCGGAAGAGAGGGAGAAGGCGGGGCTTGCAAAAATCCGGTGATCGGCGGCAGTTTCCGGTGAGCTTTTAGAGGAAAGAGGAAAAGGAAGCTTAGGGAAGAAAGAGGTAAGTGTTAAACTTAATGAATCTTGTGTTTTTCATGAGATTTTCTTGAAGTAAGAAATTAGGGTTTAAATTTTATTGGAGATTTCTTTAGAAAACCTTTAGGGCTTGATTATCCCTACCTTTTTATGCCATAAAGTTGAAGATTTCTTAAGGGAAAGCATAAAAAACAAAATTAGGGTTTCTCCTTTTTTATTTATTTTTGTAAGGAATGTTAGGAGAATTTAAAAGAAGTATGATGAAAAATGCAAAATTTTCTAAAGATTTTTTAGTTTTCCAAATTAGGGTTTTTCCTAACCTAGAGTTTTTAAGCTTGCATGCTCACTAAAGATGTTCCTAAGGGTTTAGTGAGTTCTCTAATTAGAGGAAACTTAAATTTTGAGAAAAAAATAACTTTCTAATTTTTTTTTGAGTTAAAACCGAAATTTGAATGGCTTAAATATATGTATAGGAAAAGGGAGTGTTTTTATAAACAATTGGAGTGAAATTAGTGTAATTTTAGGGTTCCAAAAATTAGGTTTAATGCAAAACCGAAAATTTCAATTAAATCTATTAAAGGAAGGGTTATGGTGAAAATGCTTTAGGTTAGATCATAGTATTAATATTTAAGTGTAGGTTAACATTCTTTACATTGTTTGTAGGCAAATTTATAGAAGATATAATATTCTTGTTCGATTCAAGGAATTGTGCAAAGAGAAGTTGAGCGAAGGAAAACTAAACGTAAGTAACACATTGTGTTATAAAATTTATAGTCTTCCCTTATGTTTTGCTTATGTTTATGAGCATCATTGAATTCTCTTATGTTTTGCTTATGCTTAATTTTGGATGTTAGCACAAATCTCAAATCTTGTATTATGTTCTTTATGTTGCATATGGTATCTTCATGTATGGTTCATGAGAATATATGTTTTACTTTCATGCCTACTACAAGCATTCACATACATGTGGCACATCATCTAATTTTATGAAATTTCTTATGTTATAGTGTAAACAATCTTATCGTTATGATTATGGAATTCAAGTTTGTGTATGCTGAATTACGGAGTACCAAATATGGATAAGGTTCTTTGGAACAATAAGGCTCTTAGAGCAATATGATGATAAATGGCCAAATATGAATTTGTACCTGATCAGTACAATATGGGTACTCCGGTAGGGGTGTATACTATATGAAAGCTATATCATGTAAGAGTTAAATGAGATAGATCATTATAAGGAACATGTAATATGACATCAATCTTACATATAACATCAACCTTACATGTGACATCAATCGTACATATGACATCAACCTTACATAGATATACGATGTTATCTTTGCATATTAGATTCTTCTTCAATGTATGAATTTTATATTGTAATTTATCATTTGCTGAGCGTAGCTCACTTCCTAGCTTTGAGATACTTTTCAGGAGAACCTTTTCATTAGTGATGGCGGAACACCCAATGTTCACATATAGTCGTCGTACTTCGGCTGACAGGTTCTTTAATGTTTTCCTGGCTGTAGTTGGTGTTTCTTTTGGGTGATTTTGTCATAGCATAAATAGTTAAATGCTTGTAAACCACCTTGTAGATATGAACTTCCTTTTGTAATAGTTTGAATGTTAAATATATATTTTGAGAAAAAGTTTAGAGGAGCTTTGTTGACCTCCATGTAAAGACCAAAAGAGAAAGAAAAATAGATATCCCTTGTACATACCTCTGCTCCGTCGAGACGCCCAAATCTCCGCAAATCCTGCAGAAATCCCGCTACTAGCTACAGGACTATTCTCTGTAATCGACACCGAAATCCCGCCCGAAATCCTGCTGGAGCCGCTGGA